CAACAAAAGCGTGAACTCTATATTAAGTGGGTCAGTACAAGACATCGTCAGAGAAGCTGCCGGGTACCTGCCGGGTGCCTGCCGGAGAACGACCAATAAGGGTGACAAAATGCCACTGAAGGAAACTTTTAATTGTGACCACAACAAACGGTGCCCGCCAGGCTCCAGAGCCCGGCGGGAGCCGGCCGGGGCTACATCCCCGACGGGCACCGGCGCAATTGGGACCAAAGCATTAGACGGCGCTCTCTCTGCGACATGGGAGCGCGATGAGGTCGTCATGAGAGCGCAATGAGCGCCATCACCTCGGCGATGGTATGGAACCGGTACATACCATCGCCGTGAGAGCAGCGATGAGCGCTGTGAGAGCGCCACGTGAGCGCCCCGAGAGTACCTAACGGCCCGAAAATTAATCTAGATACAGAGCATGGCGACCTCACGGCGCTCTCTCCGCGCTCCGGCCAATTTCAGTTCGCAGAGAGAGCGCAGAGAGAGAGCGCAGTGAGAGCGTCCTAATGAAATGGGGGCCTTGTACTCTTGGTTTCATAACCTGAATATAATGCAGGATGTACAAGAATGTACAAGGATGTTCTCTATTTACATAATTTGTTGAGTGAGCCATGAATTAGTTGATCGCCCAAAAACGTTGCTGACATTTGAGTTTTTGATCGCGCAGAGAGCACAGAAAGGTCGCCGAAGAGATTCCACTTGAGCACGTTTTTCATGGAGTTCGGCGCTCTCTCCGCGCTCTGGCCAATTTCAGGTCGCAGAGAGAGCGCCGTGAGAGCGACACTAAGGCCCCCATTCCACGCTCGCTTCGCGCTCTCACAGCGCCCATAGTTGCATCGCCGTCCTCGGCGCTCTCACGAGTCACGGCGATGGTATGACCCATACCATCGCCGTGGTGACGGCGCTCATGGTGCTCTCATGGCGCTCGCAATCTGCAACGATACGTAGTATAACACACACCAAAATATGTTTATATGTTGGAAGAGACAAAACAAATAACAAACGACTGAGGTGTGAGATCTTTGAACTCTTGTACTTACTGTGCATTTCTCTTCCTCACAGCGGCCGCCATCATGGAGTCCCAGCAGGGTACCTCGCTATCCCCTCTTAACAAGCTTTATTTCAAGATAAGTCAAAGTTTAACTGAAGACCAAGTGAGAACTTTGCGAGTTTTGTTGGCCACTGATCATCATATTGCGAGAGGAAAAATTGAAAATAAGACACCACATGAAATGTTTATTATACTGGAAGCTGATGGAAAAATCGGTGAGGGAAATCTTGGACTGCTAAAGGACCTGTTGACAGCTCTTCAAGAAACACGGCTGGCAAAGGAAGTTGAGGATATGGAGATGTCTCAAAGTAAGTAGAATTTAGTGTACAATATTCTTCATAATGATACAAGAATTCGGTTTTCCGTTTCGTTTGTAGCTTTTAAAGGCATCCAGTGCGATTTCAGAGCAGCGAAACTGGAAATATTCTGAATAAGGCAATCTTTATGATGTTGGCATATGATACTGCTTCACATTAGCACATTTGAGTCAGTATTTCATACTTTGTGTATTTAAAACCGGAGAAACAAGCCCCAAGATGACTCCCTTATTTTATGTGAGGTACTTTAAAAATCAGCCAAGAACCCTTCCAGCACCCATTTTCTACATTTTGGGTATTTTTGCTCCACGAGGGTCTATATACATTGGGATAGTGTTGTTTCAACTCAGTATCTGTACATGTACAGATAAATGAATTGAATATCGACTTTGAAAAATCGGGTTTCCAAGCCCTAAAAACTGCACTGGATTCCATAACTCAAGAAGTTCTAGATGCCGGTCTTTGAATAAGATAATGTACGATTCTTGGTTTGCCTCAGATAAACAAAGTACTGCATCCTTTTCACATTACAACACTTTTTATTTCCAGCAGACATATCGTGGTTACATTCTAAGCTCGGTTTCAAAGTGGAGGAGCTGCAGCCTAAAGCAGGTGGGAAGCCTGTCAAGGGCTCGTCCATCCCGCTCATCCTGCCAAACGATCTGAAGTACAACGCGGCCACAGGTGCAGTAGAGAAGAAAAAGAACGCCGAGCGGACAAGTCTACAGATCGTTCCCGAGGCCTCGGATCTGCTGGAGGGGATCGAGGAGCCCGTGAGCGTCCTGGCAATCTGCGGGCCCTGTCGGACTGGGAAAAGCTACATCCTATCCAGGTAATGGTACATTGAAAAATAGCAATTGTCTGCCTATCTTATTACTATTGTTAATCACGGTACCTTTGCAATGTTGCCTTGGGTTATACCCTTAGTTAGTTATCTGAACTGTTTCATAAAGGTTACATTAAACTAATAGTTGGCTGCTTTGTCTAGAACAACCTTGAAGTTGAATTATAAAAATGGCAGAACTGTGCCGTTAAAAAAATGCTTTTTTGAAACCTTCAATGTTAGGTTACTTGGTACAGCTGATGCCTTTGCACTGGGCCATCGCATGGACCCCCAGACGTTTGGTATCTGGATGGGCACCAAGGTACTGAGGGGGAAGGACTTCACTATCGTGCTGCTGGACACAGAAGGAATAGGTACGTGGGGCTATTTTAGAACAGGCCTGGGATGTTAATTTGATCTAGTAGCTAAGCCAGGTTCTTTCTAATTAGTCTTTAAAATACCATGTGTAGTTAGGATGATTTACAGTGCCATATTGCTCCAAATTAAACTCTCTCCTATTCACCATTGTAGGTAGGCTGTGCCAATTTCAAGTCTTCGCCAAGCTCTGCGAAGGTTGAGACCAAATCTATAGGTATCGTAATGTATAAAAGAGATGATGTGCTTGATGTTTAACTGTTTGGCTGGTACCACATCAAACAAAGCATTTCTATCCTTAGATGCGGTATGTGCCAGTGCTAGCCAGGACGCCTCTATCCTGGTGCTGACCATTCTGCTGTCCTCCCATCTAATCTACAACTCACAAAATGTGCCGCACAAAGGAGATCTGGAAACGATGCAGTGAGTAGACGATCTTATAACGTATTTTCTCTCCTCTCTCCTCTGATTCTCTCGCTACCTATACCGTAATAAATTGTTTTACAGCTACGTCAAAATCAAAACCTTACATTTTTGTTATCTAAAATTATCAGGTGCTTCATTAAGCTGGCTACAGGGGTCACAGTGAAACAAGGATCACCTACAGACGTGACAGACTTCCCAGAATTCTTCCCAGACTTCCTGTGGCTGTTACGTGACGTGACGCTGCAGATGGTGGATGACAACGGCACAGAAATGGGTCCCACCGAGTATCTGAAGGCGAAGGTAAGGCATAGGACTTGCCCTTTTCATCCAATGTAGATGAAAGATGCCTTCCATTACTATTGCTTCGAGAACAGTTTGGCTATGTTGTGATGGTAGTATGAAATGGAAATCTTAAGTTGATAACTAAAAGTTAAATTATGTTACACTGCTTTAATCTATCGTATCTGATACTTAGGTCCTTAAACGTGATGGTAAAGCTTTTGAAGAGTCAACCAGTGACAAAGTCGGGCGTGCCATCCTCACATTCTTCCCATCTGTGGAGTGCACCAAATTGGAGCGGCCTTCTGGTGACACTGAAGTCATGAACAACATCGTTCAGCACACAGACAAACTGAACCCAAAGTTTAACAAAGGAGTAAACGCGCTCACAGAAAGGCTGTTGGAGAAGTCACGAGCAAAGAGAGCGTACAACAAGACATCAACTGTCAGTGGTAAGTATAAGGATCAATGTGACCAAGCCCAAGATGTTTTCTTCATGACCATGGTAAAAAATATTATTTTTGTTGTTCGCCGAATACACACACACACACACACACACATTCATTCTGGTAAAATAGTTGGGTTTGAACTATGCTTTTGATTTCCTTCAAGGTGTGGCTCTGAGTATCATGGCGAAGCAGTACGTGGCAGCAGTCAATGACCCCAACTCCATCCCTGCCCTGGACAACACCTGGAAGCACACCGTAGAACTCATGCAAGGCAGGGCCATCACCGATGTAGTAGAGGAGTACAACCGGCAGATGCAAGTGAGCGCTATTCACTCACTCACTCACTCACTCACTCACTCACTCACTCACTCACTCACTCACTCACCCACTGGGTCGAGCTTCCCTCGGTTCCAATGACTGCTCTCCATCTCTTCCTATCCTTCATTTCATAGCGCTATTCAACATTACTGTTAGTGTTATATTGAGTTGTGTACTAAAATGCCACTAGATTATAGTTTACCTGGATAAAATCTAGCTTTGTCAATATTATATCCCGATTGTGAGGTCATAGTGTTCACGCAGATATTGCCTGTTTTGTAGGCTCAGGTGGCTACAGCCACCAACAATTGGCAGGATCCATTGGAAGAAAGTCCACAAAATGGAGTCAATCCCAACCCCACGACGTTGGAACATGGGAGTCACACAAGGTAATATTTACGCCATGAAACATTTCTGCCAAGTGTTTAGAACGTCGCATGTGGTGAATTTTCTCCCACATAAATTCTATCCAGACACTGTCACAGGGTCCATCACTTCGTGTTGAATACACATTGCCACAAGGAAGCTGTTTTAGTCCTGTCATTTCTGAGTTTGTGCGGATTTGTCTCTGCATAGGAATCCTCCAAGCCAGCCTACTCTCATGGACCTCCACAATGAGGTGTTCAACAAAGTCAAAGCTATGTTTCTGGAGAAGGTCGGCCATTTTGGTGTCGGTTCAGAGGAGGGGAACGATGAGATAGGCCAAATGGAAAAACGTTTGGGTAAGCACATTTGAAACTTTTTATCTGCATCTACTTTTCTGTTTAATGTGTTTTCTATTAATACAATTACAGTCCCTATATTCTTCACATAATGTTATCATTGATAACATGTGAGTTAAAGCTAAAGGACCGTGTCACCGTGCCAATGAATCCATTTAACCCTGCAGTTATTTTATAGGGGACTGAAAACCTCCCATACTGAACTTAAACATTTACAGTAATTCTATGTTGCAGTTCAAAGAGAGGAGAGAACAGTTGAGTATGTGACATGTACAGAAGACGGCACCAGCAGGAAACAGAAGAGGTTCGTCGTTACTGGCGGCGAGCTTTTCCAGTACGTCCAGAAGAACAAAGATCTATCCAGGGTCTTCTGCAAGAGACTCTTTGAACGCTTATTGGGCCCGATTAGGTAACTGTCAATTCTGTTCTTATAACGACTGTGATCCCTCACTATCTCAACGTAAATGTATGTGATTTTAGTTAGTATAACCTTATTGTTTGTAAATAGAATTTCTGGAACGAACGTGTCACTAAAAATTAGCAATAAGCCATAAAAGGATGTCTGTTTGATCATCATAACGAATTCCATATTTGGTTATTGTGTATTTCTCTGGCCCAACATTCGCTAGCAAACGTGTGGAGTCGCCTGCCGCAGACTATGAGCTCCAGCAGTTCATGGAAGAACTAGATAGTGCACGCCAGCAATACAAGGAGCAGGCACGTGGTCCAGAGAAGTGGATCGTTTTGCAGGAGATGACCCCAAACGTAGACAAGCTGAAGGCCAAATTTGAAACTATCGTCTATCAGAGAAGGGTGATTTTTATTACTATTATTTATTATTTATTACTATTATCTTTGCTTTGCCCAATGCCCAGAAGTCAGAAGTTGTGTCTAATGGTATGTTTGCCTATTTCATATTACCTGCTTACTTGTGTACACAAATGGGTAGAATACTTGACCTCGGAAGGAAAGGAAGATGAGTAATGTATCTGGCATGGGCATTTGAGGGTTAATTACACAAGATATAGCACAATTTACAAAAGCACTAAACATTTCATGGAGCTATGAATTCTTTTTGAATTCTGGTTGTGATTGAAAGTCTGTTTACGCCATAGGTCGAACTACTAGTAATGTTCTGATTTTGTATGTTTGAGGTCCATAAGATATGCAGTATACTAGTATTTCAATATTCTCGATACTCTAGATATTGCAGGAACAACAGAGGGCACTTGAGGCAGAGCTCAGGGCTACGGAACTCGAGAGCGAGATGAACAAGCTGATCCAACAAGCACAGGACGTGGAGCAGAACCGACTGGAAAATATGCAGCAAATGGACCGGTTGTTACAGACGTATCAGCACGAGATCAGTCAGGTACTAGTATGACATACGTTACATTATATGTACTTTGAATTAAAGATTCAAATGACACTTCACCATGAAGATCAGTGCTCATGTCTAATTCATATAGCAGGAGCCACTGATATCGATATTGATAAGATTTTCGCCAAATTTCTCAAATGATGTTTGATATCTATCTATGATACGACTGCCACGGTTAATCTCAAATGGCAGACGAGATTGAGAAGTCACTGTGACATATCTAGCAGATCAGGTCTCCGCCAACGTCCTAAAATTATGCTTGCCACCTAGTGCCTGTGATTTGACCGCCACATTTATATTTCAATTTCAGTTGAAACACCAGATAGAAGAACAAAAAGATGATGCTCTAAAGACGATCCAGGAGCTCCAGGCTAAACATATGGAGCAACAGGTGGAAATGGAAAGGGTAAGTAAAATTAGTAATTCCACACCAAAATGATCCTTTAAGGAAATTTGACGCCCCGTCCTGTCACACCGATCAGAATTGCACTGCTTTTTGACTTCCTGCAAAAATTGAATGAGCGATATGTTGCCAAATTCCCCCCCAAGGTGCGCAGCGAGAGGGAACTGTCCCGGTTTGACAGGGTGATTCAGCAGATGGAGCAACAAATGGCAGACATGCAAAGGGAGATGGAGGAACTGAAGAAGCAACCCCCACGACCGCCTACACCTCCACCCCCACCTCCAAGTAAGTACCCGTAAAGTTGTACTCGCATTGGTTATCATTAAGCATAACCTCTACAGGGCATATTTGACATTACATGTACTAAATTATTACATTATTCATTAATAATAATGCTCTGTTGATATTACGAGTTCACTACACTGACTGTATTTATTTTCTTTCTTGCAGAAGAGCAAAAGTGTACAATATTGTAATCATGTTCCTGCCACCAACAGCAGCTATTGAGTATTTTGCTTGAAATTTTTCGATCTGCGAGCAACAACACTTATTATAACAGCTTAAACAGGTGTGACCAGCGTGAAACCAGGTTTAGAAAGGTTTTTTTCTAGTAAAGTTTGTATCAACAAATCAATATTTGGATCATGGAGTGAAGCAAAATGTGTATGGGGTAACAATGTAACTAGAGTTTATAAAATGATGGAGTGAAGAAGGTAGAGGAACGAATCCATGGCCAAATGAAATAAGTTTCAGTGTGTAATATAGGGATACCAAACCCAGTATTATTGACCATACTGTAGCAACTGTAGCATATGATGTTATTCCTTTGATACGCAAATAGCATTACTAGTCCATGGATATAAAGGAGCGAACATTAATTACTATTACATGTGACAATACTATAAGGTTACAACAATACAGAGTCTTGATTTGGATTGGTTCTCGTCAGTAATTGTGTTACGGTCCTGGTAGTTTAGAACTTCTCATTAAAGGGCCACTGTGGATGATCCTTGCTCCTGGAAAAACAACAACAGAAAATGTCAGCCAAATATCTATCTACCATGTAACAAATTCATACAGGTGACTTATATTTTGAGTATTTCACATTTTGATGTTTTTGACTTATTTCAACTTTTATTTATGTTTTGAAATCAAATTTAATTCTCAATGCGTTTTAGAGTTTTAGATTGACTATTTCAGTGCAACGCTTTGTGAGACAAGATTTAATACAGCCTCTGTTTGCAAGTTTGTTGTTTGACTAATTTTTGTCTATCCATTTATCTATTGATTGATGAATGAAGAAATTGAAGTATCCAAGGCACACAATAATATCAACATACTGACTCTCAATATACATGACCACATTGACTAAGTTGGTCCAAAACTTAGATATTTCAAAACAAGATGCACATAATGCCCCGTCAATGTGCCATTGAGGATGCATAATTATAGCGTGGCTTCAATAAAACATTAAGATACAACTTGACAATGAACAAGTCCTTTAATGTAAATTTCCTCCCTTTTCAACTGGTATTCCATCAATAAAGTCATTTATCAATTGATCCCTTAACCTATTATCATTAACTAATCGTTAACTTACCATTCCCACTTGTAAACCCGCTTGTCCTGGTTCAGGTTATTGATGGTCTCCACCTCAGCTGCAGTCAGCTTGAAGTCAAAAATCTGATATCGGTGGAAAAGATACAGATATCAACTTCCAATACACATAGATACAATTTGTATACTCATACATACAAACACACATACATACAAACAGTTTGGATATACATACATCTGTCCTAATTTCTAAACTATTTAGTCGTATCCATATGAACGTCCCTGTATTTTGATTTTCGTGCTGAAGGCAGAATGTACATTACATGCATTGGAGAATCATTAATTAGACATGTTTGAAGTAAGACCGATAACTCACAAGGTTTTTGTGACCAGCAATTGTTCATTTGAGCGTGTCGCTAGTGTGCCAGATTAACCATTTCTTAAGGTAAAAGTCATGATTAAAACAAAGTGATCAGCCATGTATAACCACCCAAACCTTACCTGAGAGTTCTCCACCATCCTTGTGGCCCTCAAACTCTTCGGGATGACGACCACGCCTCGCTGCACCTGCCAACGCAGGCACACCTGAAACAGGTACAAGTCGTAGCCGTATCTTATTAGCCTCTTATAAAACGGCTGGAAAGACTAGAAGTTGACCAGATAGACAGATAACATGCCAGGAGAGATGGTCCGCTAAAGGAGTACAGTTAACCGCTGCAGAAACTGTACCCCTTCGAAGACTAACTGCCGTGGCATGTTATCTTGTCTATTCAGTGGTCAATTTCTACACCTTTCAGCTGCCTCTGAAGTCTGATAGAGGCTATTCGTATCGATCTATACATGGTGGAATCAGGTAAAGCGATATAAAGGAGCATGACAAGAAACCACTGACTTGTAATATGGGTGAGCAAAGAGAATAGACTTCCGAACTACAAATTGAATCTTGACATGGCATCCATGTTATAATTGTGTCTTTGGTTCAAATATGTGAATTAAGATGATTTCCAGTACCTGCGCGGCTGACTTCCCGTGTTTCTCGGCGATTTTCTTGATTTCTGGGTCTTCCAACACAGCCAGCCCGTGATCAGCAATATCCCTAAAATGACGAAGACAAAAAGTGCATGATCAGGTAAGAAAGGAAAAGATTATATTCTAGAATAAGAATATTATTAGACAAAAGATCAGCAAATTCTTTTTTGCAATGGGTAATCTTTATATATCTGACTGAGGAATATGTACAGTAAGATACAGTGCAACAGATATTTTGATAAATAGTTCAAGAAGACGATCTCTTTGTCAACTTTGAAGGCCACCTGAGTGTTACAATTACGTATAATTGTAATAACTTATTGCACTGCACATTGCGTACGTTATGCAAAAATGGCTAAAGCAAACTTAAGGTATTTACCCAGGTGCACCAAGAGGACAGTAGGCCGTCATCACAATGCCTTTCTCGGTGCAGAACTCCAACATTCGGTTACACGTCACGTAAGGATGACTCTCCACCTACGGAAAACGTGACAAAAAAAATAAAGCAACCAAAAACAGACCGTACATCATCATTCAACGTTCAAAAGAGTAACATCATTTGAGGACGTCGACATTCAGACAACTTGGAAAATAGTTATTTTGACTTAAGTGAGATCATAACTAACAGAGCGTCCTGGGGAGACCCACTATGGGTCAGTACATTTATTGATTGATAATTTGTAGGAGTCATGTTTCGTAAAACAATCGCAAATCGTGACAATAATCTGGCTGTTGCCATGCCTACTTGATTGACAACTGGTTTGATCCTCCCATTGGTCAGAACCTCCTCCATCTGTGAGATGTTGAAGTTGGACACACCAATGGCCTTCACCAGGCCTGCATCCACCAGATTCTCCATCGCCTGAAAAAGACTTTTGTATCCTTAGACTGCAGGTTCCCACGTGACAGATTAGACGAAAAGGCTAAGTTTTCTTCATGAAAACTCCTTCAAATGACAAATATCTTTATCAAAATCATAATACCATTTTGTGCAGTCACATTCGTCTTAGATGATCGTACGATTTTGATTCCAAACAATTTTCAAGCAGGCTGATGACGTACAGAACCAACCACCGACAAGGATCTAAGACAACATTTTCATTAACAAGGCAGCTGAATTTTGCAGGAGACTTGTACGACTATCCCAATACTCAATTGGCGACCGTACAATAGCAAATGTGACCAGGGCCTTAGTTTGTTTGTTTGTTTGTTTGTTTGTTTGTTTGTTTGTTTGTGCCTTTATGTATACTCAAAAATATGTATAGATATAGCTAACTTTACCTTCCAGGTATCCATGAAGGGGACATCAGAATGTTCAGCCTTGCCGTCAGTAATAGGCAGTAGGTTGTCTCCTCTCTAAAGTGGACAAAGTTTAAAGTCAAGTTTAACAAACTCAGCAGACTATTGTATTCTTAATCGTGCCTTACCCGAAACAATTACATTCTCATGGGAGGTAACCAATACAGTGTCCAAATAACGTGCCCATCTAAACTACATTAAAGAAGGTTAGGCAATAGTTAAACCTTTATTGTTGCCGCTGACATGACGTTATTCATGCATGTATTTATCTTTGTTAGATCATAAGTTGCAGAAGACCATACAAAAGTCCCTGTACTTTTAGTTGAGTCAATAATGTAGTTTCTATCAGGCTTCGGTGGCAGCTTGAAAGAGTTGAAATCGGCCAAATAGAGACGTAACATGCCGAGGTCTGGATGAGGCAAATTGTACTAGCTATCGGACCAACTCCCCTGGGATGTTATCTCTCTATTTGGCCGATTTCTACTCTTTCCAGTCGCTTCCCGAAGCCTGATAGAGGCTGTCAATAAAGAATGTCTTTGCAATCATGCGCATCGCACTTACCGCCCATGGGAATGGATGGTGCATGAGGTACAGGTCCAGGTAGTCTAGTCCCAGATCGTCCAGACTCTTCTGGCAGGCAGGCATGACGTCATCAGGGTGGTGCCTGGTGTTCCAAAGCTGCGGAAATCAAGAAAATAAATGACGTACATATCAAGATGATGTTTATTTTCTGTCTTAGATTAAAAGGATTCACAATTGTATATTAACGAATTTAGTCAATTGAATTCTCATACATGATTATTCCTGTAGATCTAATACTTTCCCTTGTTATTTCATAGAGTGAACTTAAACATATTTCATGTAATGTATAAGAGTATAAGTATCGTTACAACTTTCAAATTCCTTTAGTCTTCCACTCAATGCCCTCTTTACTTTTACCATATAGAATACTTCACAGTTGTATTTGATGATACAAACCTTGCTGACGACGAAGACATCCTCCCTCGCCATTCCTGCGCCCATTTTCTCCTTCAGAGCCCGCCCGATCTCCTTCTCGTTCTGGTAGAGTTCGGCGGTGTCGATGTGGCGATATCCCGCGTCTAGAGCAGCCTTCACCGCTTCGTAACACTCGTTGTCTTTCGACTGGAAGTGGAGACGGTATTACATTGTTTATATAGAAACATGACTGGAAGCCTGCATGTACTCTTGTATCCAGAACCGTGCTTTATCCAGAACCATGCTTTATCCAGAACCATGTTTTATCCAGAACCATGTTTTATCCAGAACCATGCTTTATTCAGAACCATGCTTTATTCAGAACCATGCTTTATTCAGAACCATGCTTTATTCAGAACCATGCTTTATCCAGAACCATGCTTTATCCAGAACATTCGTTGTCTTTTGACTGGAAGAGGGATATGGCGTCAGCGCTGGCGGTTTGGGCCTTAAAAAAACTCAAAGTCGTGTGGCGTAGCGGCAGAGTGCTCGACTCGAAACCAAGAGGTCCCGGGTTCGAGTCCTGACATGCCACACGACTTTCCTCACTTCGCTCAGGTGAAAATGAGTATTGTATTGTCCCCTGTTGGTGGAGGCATTAATATAAGTTTGTGATTGTTTCACGTCTTGTGATTATATGTTAGAATATAACCCTCAAAGTCAACAGTTCTAAATTGTCTGACTGACAAATTAAAGACGAGGCTTGGGCTTTGGCTCATTTTTGGCGTGGTTTGGGCTTTTTTATCGGGATTTCTTTTTTGTACAGGTATTTTTTTTTAGATGGAACAAAACAAGATACCAGTACAAAGGGCCAGATAAAAAGCCTAAACCACGCCAAAATAAGCCCAAACCTCTGCTTGGAGACTAGATTAATACACTACCTGCCAGGTCCCCAGCCCAACTTGAGGCATGGACGCTCCGGTCGACAGTTTTACCGCAGGGCAGGTCATCTTTCCAGCCTCGCCTCGACGTGTATCTGCGGGAAAACAAGTCTCGTGAGTTAAGAAATTCCTTTTTTACACAGCCAAGTGTTTTATAAATTCATAGCCGATGTTTCGGTGACCGTCTGTCACCTTCCTCAGGGCAATTCTGACTGGTTCGTATTTTGTACTGCAGCACATGTGTCGCTGCTATAGATGCATTCCCAAACGTGCAATATTTACACATCTACACATATGCGTGCACGGTTACAGGGAAATGTATCTATAATGCGGTCAATGTGTTGCACACATGGTTATGTTCCAAATTGGCCAAGAAGTATCCAACAGCCAGACTACATCCATTTGCCACCCAACCGCCTGGCTAATGGATACTGTCTTTTCCGGCCACCGAAACATCTGCTTGGAGATTAGCTAAAATCTAAGTGAAAGGTCAATAGCGTACGGAGCTGTGTACTTTTCAGCACATACATGTCACCATGTACACTTGGGTGGCATTCAGAACCACCAAACAGTGTAATTACATAAGTCGTGCTCAGTGTAACATTGGCGCCTGAGCAAAGTCCATTTAAATCCAGTCAACCGGTTTGACTCAAAATATGCTGACCCTCATTGTTTTGTAAATTTTAGGATTCAGTTGTTTGTCTGTTTTGTCGTCTGTAAATGGCTTATATTAATTACGAAAGTTGTTGTACATTTTTTTAGGCTCTATAAAGTTTCTTTTTGTATCAGACGTATCCAACAAATGACTTGCTCACGTTTAGCTTGGTCTCTGATGAATTCTGGCGTTATAATTACGTTCAAGGCTTCTGAAAGAATATCCGAGCATTAGAGTCGGCCAGGCCTATTTTGTTGGTCTTTTGCGGCATTTTCTCTCTGTTTATACTAGAATTGTCTACAAGTATCTCTTGTGGAGCAACCAAATCAGTCGAAAGACGACAGAGTCAGGAAGATGCATTCGAGGGTGAATTCGGAACCCTTCGAAAGCCCTACGACATAAAACCAGCCTCCTTGCGTAACCAAGGAGGCTTCTCGGCTCGATCCTTCAAGTAAGTTGAGCTCTCTGGGGCGCTTTACACTTGTATCTAAGACCTTCTTGAGATGATCTAACAAACGCAAGAAATCTTACAAGTTGACCTCACCTGAACTTGAGTCTCTCTTGCCTGTTGGAGTAGACGTCACTAAGAAGATGACCTATAACCTTGCAGCTTTCCCGGCTTAGTCTAATACTTTATAACTCTACCTACTGCAAGTGTGCTTAAATAGACTGAAAAAGGGGCGTGCACATTCATGCCTTAATTATGTATTAAATGAAGTCACATGTCTTAATTGTTCTCCTACATTAGATCTTATCAAGTTATTAAGTAAAAAAAAAGGAAATGAATGAAAATGGGGTATTTGTATATTCATGTCTTAATTGCGCTCACATGTCTTAATTATCCCCCTTTGATTTGATTGTGATTTCAAAGATAGGAAAAATAAATGTATGAAAATGGGGCATGTGACGTTCGAATTGTGGTCACGTGTCTTGATAACTCCAATTAAGAGCAAGACAACGCCGACATTACAGGTTTAACCAGGAGTTTGTCTGATGTTTGACCTTTTCGCCTCTCTTTAACCCCACAAGGAATTAAAGTCGTCTCTTTCTCTCTCTATCAACCTCTCTCTCTCTCTCTCTCTCTCTCTCTCTGTGTGTGTGTGTGTGTGTGTGTGTGTGTGCATGTGTGTGTGTGTGTGTGTGTGTGTGTGTGTTCCTGTGTTTGAGTATGTGTTTTTCTCGGTGTGCATATGTCTTGCCCTACATTAAACATGTTCGTACCTTTTACTCCACCTTTGCTGCCCGAGCAACCCATAGTTGTCCACTTGCGGGGGTGTCTGAAGATCAAATCTTGAAAAACACAAATTCCTTAAGTCAACAGTATTATGTGAATGACTTCTTAGCATATTTAATACCGACATTGAACGTTTCATAACTTTCATAACGTGTCATCTGCGTCGGTAGAAGTCATCGTGAAACAAGTGTGAACTGTAATGTCCAAAACTAAGTCCAGTTCAACCTTGCATATCAAACGTTTCGGTAAACTTTAACCACAACATACCCTGAGTTGAAAGGGAAGGTTATAGGGTTACTTAAATTCACGTATAAGGTTTTACACCATTTGTCCACTTTTATGCGTTGAAACTTGCGAAACTTCCTGGTTTAAGTCGTATCGTAACAACGTAACAGTTTACCTGGTTTTGAAGAAGTCTGGTCTTAGACTGTTGTTACGTTGCAGTTGGCTACGGTCTAAACATGGCTGCCACGCAGGGTATTGAGCATGTGATCTTTTTTTCAACTCCATGGTTTCTTTTGAAATGTGAAGAAAGGCACCACAGGTAGAATACAGGCCCTACTGAGATGTCAACAAACATTCAACCATATCAGTTACGTTGGTGAAGGCATTGACCTTGTTTACTACGGTACGCATTGTGTTATATACATTTTTGACTTTGATTGATTGATTGCAAGCTTAGTATGTATTCATTCAATACTTATAATGACTGAATTAAGCAAAATTCTTGCTGTCTTCATGTCGCCTTGAACAGGTGGTTTTCCAGTGCTATTTAAGCCGGCTGCTGCAACTCGTATGTATATCGCTAGATGTCGCTTTAGGGGGAGGGGCAAAGCGATGCCTGTGTCTACATGTCTCTAGGGTGGATCAAGTCTAGCGTTCAGGTAAGATAATAGAGGCTCATACATTGCTTGACGGTGTGCCAGAAATTACAGATAGTCTTACAAGTGTTGTAGCTTCTTTTCTACGAACTCACTAGGCCAGATTTGCTTATATAACGTTTTATAACGTTAAAATCTTGACCCAGTTTCTCAGGTACATAGCAAGGCAAGTCCACTCCAACATGGCCACGCCGACTACTGCAGCACTTCGTACCGGGGCGCAAATGCCGCTGCTAGGGTTGGGGACAGGGCCTGGCTCCGTCGGAACTTGGCAGGTCAGTGAGAAACTCGTGAAGTCTACAACAAGCTTTCCTGAGGGGGTATGGATGGCAGAATTCGGCAGAAATTCTGGCGAATTACAGAAATTATGTCAGTTTCAGAAACTAGGTCATGGCCTGATCAGGTGAGTTTGAGTGTTTTTCGGACGTTTCAACTCATTTTTATACGTTTGTTGAGCTTTCTGTTTTGTCTCTGCTTTTATTTGGGACAGCTTCTTTGGGTGCTCTGGCCTAGGCTAGGATATACGAAAAGAAAAGTCGACAAAATATGTGATGGCCCCAAAAAAGTAGTCCAAAATAGTGTTGCAGTGTTTGGGGATTTTTGGCAACGCCTCTGGTGCGAAGCTGATTGTAACTTGATAAGATGATTGATATCTATTGCAAATAGGGTCCAAATATTGCTATTTTAGAAGTTGGTGATTCATTACAAATCACCTGGATGGAGGCCTAGCGAACCTCCGTCTCGTATTAGCTACATGGTGATTTACATCATCTGGTGAGTCCAGCAAGAATAGTACTAATTTATGTACAAATGGTTTAATACATGGAGATCCTAATATAAAACAAACAAAACATTTATTCCTTATTTTCAGACTTCAACAGAACCCATTTACGAAGCGGTTAAGGCTGCCATTGATGTGGGCTATCGTCACATTGACACTGCTGAATCATACGCGGACGAGAAGGCAGTCGGACGAGCGCTACGGGAAAAGATTGGATCCGCGGTACAGAGGAAGGACCTCTTCATCACCAGTAAGGTTAGCAGCAAGTTGGTAGACACCTCATTCATCATTCATCTTTATAATTGAGCTGTGTATATTTTTTGAAACCTTCATAATATTTAATAATGAATGATGATGATGTTTATTGGCATATTCTCAACCTACCATTCATTCAGTCATTCATTCATTTATACATTCATTCATTCGTTCTTTCATTCAGTCATTTATAACGCATTATCCTAATGTTTTTTCTGTCATCTCAACTAAAAATGATGGCTTTGTTTATTTATCTATTTATTTGTTTATTATTATTTGCTTATTTTTCAAAAGTTATGACTTTACTTTGTTTCTTAGCCAATAATGAATTAAGTTTTCTTTTCCTCTCTCAGTTGTGGAACACCAGACATCACCCAGATGATGTGCTGCCAGCCTGTCAGAGGAGCCTAACCGACCTGGGACTAGACTATCTGGACCTGTACCTCATGCACTTTCCTGTGGCTTGGGTGGTATGTAACACATTCTGTATTTTCTAAATCAACATGTGTAATTTACCTCTCTCTGTATGTAATTAAACTGTTGTGATCTAACTTAGCAATTCTACTTTCTTTTGTTTATATAGAGAGGGGAAGTGTACTATCCGAAAGACGAGAATGGTCGAGCGATTCTATGTACACCAGATGTTCATTTCATGGACACATGGAAGGTAAATAATTCTTTTATACTACATACTCTCACAGAGTACTTCCCAAAGTCTGAATGATACAGTGAGGTAAAATTTGTCTGGTAAAGTGTAATGTTCAATGTGCAGAAATAAGTATTTCGAGCCCTGATAAATACTTATGAAACTTCCCAAAGTCTGAATGATTCAGGTAAAATTTGTCTGGTAAGGGTAATCTGAATCTGTATAGCAGGTATAACTGCCTTTCAGCGTCACACACCAGCTTCAATGTGCAGAAACAAGTATTTCGAGCCCTGATATAACCAACCAACCAAACAAACAAACAATTTCTTGTGTTTATTATAACCCATGAGGAGGCGCCATCATGGGTGTCCAAAAATTACTTATAACGGATCATAATGACTACCCAGTAGGTAGCTTCATTGAATGGGCTTATCAGGTGTTTGACCTGACTAAATTGCCAGAAGCACATTACAAAAGACATGGTCTGTTGCAACACAATATACTGTAGGTTGTTTAGTCAAATAATTTACAGAATCTAGATGAAACATTCAGTTTTTAAGTAGGTTGATATGTTATTAGCACAAAAGCTGTGTTATGCTCTCAATATTCTTGATATTTGCTTACATTTTGTCTATCTGAGTAAAATAGCATAGATTATGTTAATGAGGTCTGTACCATAATTATTGTAGGGGAGATTCAGGAGTACAAAATAACCTTACATGTAGCTTATTGTCTCTGGATGTTAAGTGTGTAGTTAGGTAAGGAAAGAGACTTTTCATATCAATATCAAACATTTGTTGATGAGAACAAATTGTAAGAAAAACTTTCTGTACCACATATCTGCAGACACCATTGGAATACTTCACAAGTCAGGACAGTTGTTACATGAACTTGCACTTCTTTTATTTCAGAATCTATATTTTCTTAATGTATACCATGTTAATTAACAATGGTGATCTTTCATATACCCTATGTTATTGTGGGACAATGTCAAGAAGCTGTCATCATTGCTGGATCCAAGTTAAGTCATAAAGTCAACTCTGAATGAACAATTCGTTGTTTTTTTCAGGCGATGGAGAGTCTGGTGGATGCAGGCCTGGTGAAGGCCATTGGTGTGTCCAACTTCAACATCTCACAGATGGAGGAGGTTCTGACCAATGGGAGGATCAAACCAGCTGTCAATCAAGTAGGTGAAGAATCTGTCTCGACCAATCAGAATATTGCAAGGGTGATTAGCGGCCATATTCTGTCATTTTAAACTGGTGTGTTATGCATAAGGGAAGTTACGTGTATACCAGCTAATAGCATACAGATACAGAAGCTGGTGTGTTACACTGAAGGGCGGTTATACCGGCTATACAGATACAGAAGCTGGTGTGTTACGCCGAAGGGCAGTTATACCGGCTATACAGATACAGAAGCTGGTGTGTTACACCGAAGGGTGGTTATTTATTTATTTATTTATTCATCTTAGGACGTATGGGTTGTCGCTTCAGCCCCAAGGGGCTGATTTCCAAGGGAGCCCAATTACAATGACAAATAACATATAAAATACAAAAGTAATATAACATAAATAAATTAACATAAATTATAAATTATATAAAAATACAATAATAATCGATGGTCATTATGGTCATTATGGAGGTCAGAGGTCAAAATTCCAACTAGGAGATAAGAAAACATATGATAACTGAGAGGTCAAAATTCAAACTTAGGAAATAATAAAACATATGATAATAACTGAACGTAGAAGTAATGAATCATATAAACAAATCAATCAAAGTAATGAAACGTAACAAATCATCGTTGTCAGTAAATCGTCATTAGGTAATCAGGTGTCAGATCGGTTCAGTTTTCAACCTGTCTTTAAAAGCTTTAAGTGTGGGTGCTAGTCTCAAGTTACAGTTTAGTGAGTTATAAGTTACTGTTGCTCTGTATGCAAAGGTACGTTGACCTGCTTTTGATGTGTAATTGGGTCTGTGTAGGAGATGTGATTGTCTAGTGTGGTAGTTGTGGATTTGATTATTATAATTAAACGTGTTGAGTAGATAACTTGGGGCTAATCCATGGAGACATTTGTACACCATGACACAGACATGGCGTGTTCTTCGGACTTGCAGTTGACTCCATCCAAGTGCCTGGTGCAGTTCCCCCACATTAGACCTCGCGTCGCTTCGTAGGACGATTCTAGCAGCCCTGTTCTGCAAAACTTGTAGTCGCTGCTTGTAGGTTGTACTACAGTTGTCCCACACAACATCGCAGTATTCAAGTAGTGGT